ACCCTGAGCCGGTGAGATTTGAACCGCTGAACTGCTGATCTAGCAGTAGCCTGCAGTGCTGCATTTAACCACTGCGCCACCTTGGCTCTTATAGGGTCATAATCATGGTTACAATCATTAATCAAATGATGTAGCCTTCAAACATATGTTGGTTGAAGAATCAGAGAATTGTCTGGGGGGGGGGGTTGCTGCTAAACACATTAGAAAGATCAATTAAACTACAGAGATGACTCATGATACATATTAAATCAGGAATCTCTACCTTGGTGTGTGCTGGCTGGGGAATTCTGGGAGTTGAAGTCCACAAGTCTTAAAAGTTGCCAAGATTGGACACCCCTGCATTAAAACAAGCCACAGAGGGTAGACAGCTCTCCCGATCAACCAAAACTCCAGAATGTTCTCCTTTATATCAAATAAGGTGCAAATTTGCAGCCTGAGAGCAGCTGCGTCTGATGAATAGTTCTCTAGCTGCTTAAGTGTAATTTCATACGCTAAAAACAAAAACTCAATTTTTTAAAGCTAGAAAAACATAGAAATGTGTATTTGGTTATAATCAGAGGAGGTTATAAAGGAACTTTGCCTTGGGGCATAAAAATGAATTAGCTACATATGGATTAAGATAAATTACGAGCCGGCTCTTTTCCTTCCACCCAGTGGAAACGGGAAAGGTAGTAAGGCTGTCAGATCCTAAATCATATCCCAGATGGAATGCTTTTTCACCGAGGGCCCTGCAATCAACAATTCTTTTCATTATTCTTTCATTTGCACTCATTCTTTCACGTGTGTGTGTGTGTGCAAGTACATTTATATATGTGCAGGAATACACATTCCATTCCTTTAGATGATTTAAGTTCCTCCAAAGTCTTAACTTCCCACCCTGTGCTGTCACTGTTTGAATCTGACTGAAGGCAACATCATTTTTTCCCCCCTCCAAAAGCAACTCTTCCATTAAACAGTCCGGCTTCCTGGATGTAAATTTTGCTAGAAATTACTGGCCCGGACAAAAAGCAAATTGAATTTCAAATCAAATTTATTATCTCGGGGGAACAATGTGCTGATGGCATTGTTTGCCTTCCTATTTAATTCAGTATGTTTTACAATCTTCACGCATGTCAGCGAGATGTTCATGATTTGGTCTCTGGTTCACTGCTTTTTTTGCAACGCGCAAGGAGTCGGTGGGATTCTACGGGAAGCTTCATTTTCTCAGAATGCAAAATCATTTTAACGGCCCTGAGGGAATCCTGAAAGCAAAAAGCGGCGCTTAATAATATTAGAGGTAGGATGAGGCAGAAAATAGATGCTTCCAAATAGAATTAAACCACTTAGATTATTCAGAGAAAGCAAGGAGTCAAGAACAATTACTCCCATCTTGTGGGATCCAAATATTAATTGATCTTCTATCTTGAGATCAGCTCCTGTAATACAGGGAGTCCTCCACTTACGATCACAATGGAGCCCAAACGTTTCATTGCTAAGCAAGGGAGTTGTTAAGTGAGTTTTGCTCCGTTTTACGGCCTTCGTTGCCACAGATGTTAAGCGAATCACTTGCTCCTGTACTCGGGCTCCTATTCTTTTTTTTTCGTATTTTTTTTTTATTGAAAGCTTTTTATTTCCATTTTCATTTTCATAACACGCACTCACATATATACTATACATAACCTGTATCATATAGTATTAAATAATAATTATATCAGTTCCTCTTGTCAACAATGCCCAGAAAAGTAGAAACCCATTATAGCTCTTCTGCTCTCCATACACCTTTCTTCTACCACCCTCCAACTCTCTATCTTCCCTCCATCATCCTTTCCTACTCCCCCTTCCTTTCTCCTTCTCCTCTCTCTTCATTCCACTCCTCCTTATCCTCCT